TCAATGTATGATTGTAGCCGTTTCTGTATTACCTTTAGCAAAACTTTTTTTTTTAATGTTTTATTGTGAAACTCTCACATAATTCACAATAAAACATTAAAATAAAAAAAAAAGATTGTGTTAAGATCATACAGGCTTAACCCTGGGTCAGGAGAGGCCATCATTCATTGGCCCTTTCAGAAGAGCTGAGGCTTTCTTAAGGTAAATTCTATTCGATTCTTTCTGTTAGCTCACTTTTATGTTTGTTTCTTTCCTGGATAGTTGTAAGACATCAGTACCAACATCAGTATGGGTAGCAATTTTATTTTTACCATTAAGCTAAAAATTAAATCAAAGTTTCAAAGAGCATCTTTAGAAGAAAAGTTCAAGAGAGATGTCCTTTATGTATTTTGTGAAAATACATTTAGAAGCACGATAGCTACCAATGGAGCTACTAGTAAGACATGAATCCTGAGAGAAGGATGCAACAGACTGGACCAGGTTGATGTGTTTGGGCACTTCTACCACAAAGGAATAGCCATGAATATCAGGGGTTTTAAGAAATTTAATTTTCTCTGATGTCTTTTCAGCATTTGTCAAAGTTGGCGGTTATGAGAGTTTCACAGAGAAGTACATGAATGCCATCCCATCCATAGTCGAGGGTGACAATCTGACAATCAGCTCCAGGTGCTACACTCCTCAGGCCGACTCATTCCACATTTTCCGAGATGCTGTCACTGGAGATATTCCCTGGCCAGGCATGATCTTTGGAATGACTATTGTGGCTGTGTGGTACTGGTGCACAGATCAGGTGATATGTTTAAGTGTGCTTTTTAACATGATTATGTTCTTTTTCTTTTCAGAGAAAAACTCCCAGGTTCCATTTTGTGAGGATATTTTACACACACATTGTTTAAAGAATTAAGCAGTTCTACTAGGCTTGTTATGAAAAATAGTTTCCCAACTATCTCCCCTAATTATTGTCTCTCAGAAGCAAATACTTTAAGCTTGTTCTGTTGTGATTTGGGGATTTGTTTCTATTCTTTATTCTTGCAGCTTATTAGGAATGAAGACTCTCCTACCCTACTGTTTAAGGCCAGATTTCTAGAGAAGCAAAACTAGTGAAACATATATATGTATACACATATAGAGAAGTTTATTATCAAGGAAATGGCTTACAATTGTAACATCCCAGGTCCCAGAAGAAGACAGAGAAAGCCTTTCAGGTGTGTCTATTATATTGAGTTAGGCCACACCCCCCAAGGAAATATCCCTTCAATTGACTGGCTGCTCACAGCCAAACATCATAGAGTTAACTATGCCTGTATTAGGCTTCATCACCATGGGAATAAACATCCTAACTGCTAAACCTCTGGAAATCCTGGCCTAGTCAAGCTGACATAAAACTTTAACCATTACACCTACCCAGACACGTTGGATGATAATTTTCTTGGTAACATAATATTCAGGTGATTCAAACTGAATGCTTGTATTGCTCCTCCTTGGTTTCTCAGTTTTCTATGATCTTCCCAAAGTGACAGGTGATGGATTAACTCAACTTTCATAATCACACACAAGCTTAACTTCTGTATCCCTGTAGATATAGGTTCCAATAGATTTAAATCACAATTTTGACGAAAGCAACATTTAGTTCTTCCATTTTGTTACTAGTAAATGTAGCTCATACTTGAGTCACACACTTGAGTCCTCCCAAGGCTTCTTTTGTACTACAGCTATTTGTTTTGGTTCAAGTGAATAATATTCTTAACTATATTTTTAATTTTCTGGGTAATTATTATTAATTAAACAACAAGCCCTCTGCATATTACTGAAACACAATTTAAGTACATGAAAACATTCAAGTATTCTACCAATTCATATTTTGGCTCTCAAAGACTTGTTTTAATTTTCTTGAGCTTCAGTGTGAATTTGCATATGACCAAGTGATGGTCTGTTCCACAGTCTGCCTCTGGCCTTATTTTGGCAAACGATATTGTACTTTTCCTCAATCTATTCACACTGATGTAGTCAATTTGGTTACTGTGTATTCCAGCTGATGAGACCCATGTGTATAGTTGCCTTTTATGTTATTTTCAAAAGGTATTTGCAGTGAATATGATATTGGATTTGCAAAAATCTTTAATATTATCTCCAGCATTTCTATCATCACATCCAACTACAGATCCTTCTTC